GATTGGAGTGGCTCTACAACAAGAAGTAGACCATAGGAAAGAAGAACATGAATCAATTAAACACTCACCTTCACAATAATATTAATTAAAATAATACTATAATTCCAAATACAATATTAACACTAATGTTTAATAATAAAAATGATGCGGTTATCACCTATATTTGTTCATTACAGATTAAGTGAATGGTTATAATTTTCTATCCTGTATTTATAGCTAATTTATTTCTTTTATTTATGATTAAATCATGTAAAAAATACATTATTTGCGTTTAATATCTAAATAACCAACAAACAAAGAAACAAAGATGTTACCATCACCATTGTTAAAAAAAAAACTTGTAAATGATTTTGATATTTTAATATCTATTTAATATGAAAGTAAGTGGTTTTGCTATTTCATTTATTTATTTATTAATATTTGTTTTTCATACAATTGAAAATTGAATCTTTTAGATCATTGTTGTTATTGTTTAGTTACATGATGGCAATTGTAAGGTATTATTTATTATTTTGTAATAATATTATGCCAAAGGACTAATCATTCTAAAAAAAAATAATAAAATTTCCATTTTATTAAATAAAAAATTTTATTTTGATTTATTTTAATGAAAAAAAAAAATTCAATTTACCTGATTAAAGAAGGTCTTGGATTACTTCTTGTAAATCCTAATTTTTATTAAATTATTAGATTAATTATTAAACTAATTATAATATTAATATAGAATAATGATTAATTTACCAAGATAAAGTATGAATGGAATAAAGCTCCAATGAAAAATAGTTTTTGTAATATCAAGTATTTTGACAATTTTCTCCTATTAAAAAAAAAAAGAAAATTTAATGGATTTATTACATCTTCTTTCTTTCCGAACATTCATAAAATGTATGCAAAATAAAACCTTGGTTTCTTCTCTCATTTTCAAAAAAAAAATAAATTTTAAAATTTGGCCGTGTGGCGCAAAAATGTAAACATTTGTACTACCAAAAATTTTTTGGCAACCACCAAAAGTGAGAAAATCGAGATTTGTGTTCATCACATTCTCTCCCAATATAGATTAGTAAAATCATCTCTTTTTTAAGTGGTGTTTTTTGTGAAAAGTTCTGCCAAGTTTCTGCTCCAAATACTCAATTACTATCTCTTTATTTTCCATGTTCCTTTGCCACCAGGAGTTCATCATCATGATTATACTAACACCAACAGTTCTTTTAATTAATCAATATCCTCCATATGCCAAGCTTAAAATTTTATTTTCAATTTGGCCTTGACTTAGTTGTTCTGCTTTTATCTGGGTTAATTCAATTTGTTTTTCTTCAGCTGGCTGATATTTGGGCTTTTTCTTTTCTAAAATGTTGATTTCTTTTTAGTTATTTCAGGCTTCTTTCTTTGACTTTGTTTTGAACCCCAAAAAATAAATAATAAAAATAAACAAAAACGTGGATTTATAAAAAATTCCTTTTATTATTTTTAAATTTAATATTTTACAGTTTTGGAAAAATGAAGTTACTAGAATTAGTGATGGGCAAAATTGCATAATTCATAATGCGCATACAGAGTTTTTTAAAGTGCATACAACCAACGAATAATATAATGAACAATATTGCACCAAACTTGTGACTACTAAATGTCTTTAACCAATCAGAATTTATTCATTTGATTTATTAAATACATTTTTCAGAGTGAAAAATTTTCCCTTCTGGGAAAGTTTTATAAAATAAATTTTTTTTTGGAGTTGCTTGTCCACATAATTCCCTGCAACGCAAAAGACATAGTAAAAACATAGCTTTTATATGAATACAAAGAGAAAATGAAGACATATTTTATTGTACTTATTTTAAAAATAGGAATGTGTTGAAATTATACATGCTGCCCAAATCCCAAATGTACAAAGTAAATTTGGGTCAGCCTGTCAATGAATTCCCAAATCCCAAACTACTTTGTACATCAATACATCAGGAAATTTTCCCCATTGTAATAAAAAATTATGTAATATTTACACTCAATGTAATAATTGCATAATTTTTGTATGATTTTTGCATAATATTATGGGGCCTGCCATAAACCTATGTAAATAAATTTCCTTGATTTTTAA